GAATAACATTCCGGCTACGCTTGCTTGTCTGTTCACTTGCTTATATTTTGCATATGTGTTATATGTTTCTTTGAAAAATGAAATTAAAAATTCTATGAAATTAAACATTGCGTACCAATGGTAAGTCTTTCTAAGATGTAAAAAATCCGTCCTGAAAAAGGCTAGAAATTCATTTTATTGTGTAGAAAACTAATAATATTGATTGAAAAGATAAGTTGGGACAATATTTTTTTTGCCGTTAAGACAAATCTTTGATGTTTCGAAAATATCCACCAAAATCTTTTGCGTAGATATCTGAGAAACCGACTGTTTCAGCGAGTTTTCTTAGAGTTTGACTTAATGACTGTCCTTGTAATGTGTTCATTCTAACGAGGAGTTCTTGAAAGTGTTGTGTTCTGATTTGATGTTGTATATCTGGTTTTGAGTAAATTCCTATCGATTGTAAATCAATTTTGGAGTTTCTGGCTGTTGCGCGTATGCTTTCTGGTTAAAATTTCTGGTCGCTTCATATGAGTTTAGGTCCGTAGGTCCAGGGTGACCTTCTCATAGAGTAATTTTGGATAAGATACTCCGTCTGCGTGTCACGTTATCTTAATTTCGGCCGGATAGATTCGTGCAACTCCGTAGTCTATTGCCAATCCTAATCTTAATCATATATTTCTTAGTCTCAATAGATCTAGTATATTCTTTTAAGATAAGAGAAGAGAAAAAGCAACTGATTTCTAATCTTCTAATCTGTAATTAATTTTCTCGGGCTAAAACTTTGAAAATCTTGAGCTTTACAGTTTATTTTAAGTTTAAGTAATGAAAACTGATTGGTTAATTATAAATGTTTGAGCGATAAATATTAAGGTATTTAAAAAAATACTTTATAGATTTGTTTTGAACTGCTTCCGTTATCCAAATGTATTTTGAGCAGCCATACATCAGTATACCGTTTTGAACAACTTTTCTTGGCGAGGAATAGTATAACTTTACTCTTTCAAGACCAGCTAATTTAATTTTGAGAAAACGTATGTACAATATAAACAGCATTGTCTAGTTTATTAATGTCTAGTTTATCAGCTTTATTTTTTTTGATTCATTGATGATTAATCAGTTTTATCAATCCGTTTTTTTTCAAGGGCTGTTCAATCAGAAAAAGTGTTTCAGTTTGTCAGCTTCAAAAACTGCTGTGTGAAACATTTGTCAATGCACATGCCAAAATCACATTTTAACTTTTTGTTTGTTTCGAGCTTGGACTCAAATTTTTCAGTTGTTGCAAAAGTGTTGCCTCTCAGGTTGAATAGTTTTTTCTTTGAACAAATTCAATTATTTTTTTGATAAGCTCTGTATTTTTGTTGTAGATATTTTTAAAAACCTTTTGCGAAAGATGATGGTGACTTGATTAGCCGGTTTTGTCAAACTCTAGTCGACCATATGATTTGACGTTCAATTATTACACTTATCAACATTTTGTACCTTTTGAGATTATATTTTTCACTATGATCAAATTCAGATTTTGCGAAATTAATCGAAAGCGTAAAAAAATGTTTCGGACTATCGGATGTCAAAATTATTATCATAATTAGCACTTTCTTGTGTATGATAACCTTCGTTGTAGTGTTGCCTTGTTTTTCGAAATAATCACTTTTTTGCTTGGACGAACCACAAATTGGATTTGAAATTTTTTAAAACAAGATCAGGTTTGGCTAGTTTTGATAAGTTTTGATTTTTAGGAGTTTCAAGGTGCAACTAACGAACTGAAAAAACCATCAAAAACAATTTTATTATCAATTTTCTAATTTTCTCACGGTTTTTTGTGTAATATGAAAAATGTTTAACAAAATTCTTAAATTCAATTGCGTGAAGGATAAACTTATTTTGCAGATTTTTGTCTTTTTTTTTTCTGTAGTTCGCCCAATCTATCCCTCTGAATCTAAATTTTGCACAGGAATTTTTTTTTGTTGGAAAACACCCACTTAAATATTTTTTTCTCTTTTTCGATTTCTACCTAAATAACTTCCGTAACAACAGCCGTGCACCAATATACTGCTTCACTTAACATTTTTTCTAAGGAGTTGAAAAATTACTACTCGTTTCATTGAAAACTATCTTCTACCTTCATAATCTTTGCAACAAATTTTGGCCAATTTTTAGTAGTTTTCTGAACATGCGGTGCAAAAGTTAAGCTATGTTAAATTAAATTTTAAAATTTAATTACGTGAATGATAAGCTAATTTTGCAATTTTTTTGTCAGTTTTTTCAAAAATTTGTCACAAATTATAATCTTTTGGAAACTAAAACGATTTTGTTTCTGAATCTAAATCTTGCACAGCATTTTTTTTGTTAGAAAACATAGCCCTTCTTATGTTTATTTTTTTTCGATTCATTCCTAATTGACTAACAGTAGCCATGCTAATACCGTAACAGCAACCCTGCACCAGTTAGTGTTACATTCAACATTTTTTCTCACGAGCTAAAAATAACTACTCGTTTCATTGAAAATTTTTTTCGAGCTTCACAAATTTTGCTCCAAAGTTTGACCAATTTTTAGTAGTTTTCTGAACACATGGTGCAAAAGTTGAGCTGAATTAATGGTTTTTATCTTTCCTCCAAAAAACTCCATTTTGGTCGGACAGATTTTTTTTCTTTCACTCAAACTTTACTGACATTCGACTCGTTGTTAGTTGAACAGTTTTTTTCAAGCTTTTCAAAATCAAAGAATGTAGTTGTTAAATTTATCAGCCTATAAAATTGAAGTACCGCCATCTGCAAACAATCTCCATTTATCTACACGATAAAGTCAACTCATTGAATAAAAGAAAAAAATGTAGAAGAGACCATGTGGTACACGCAAATTTTTCGTAGCCATGTGGTACACGCAAATTTTTTTTTGAAGGCAGCTTTTAAGCAATCTATTTTGACATGTTGATGTCTCGAAAAAATGTCAGTGCACAGTGCCAAAGCAAATAAAAAAATTTAAGTTGCTGAATTCATACTTTTTCTATCTTATATTTAGGGCGTTTCTAATTTCTGATACGCTTTGTATCTAAGTTGAAATTTTTTTTTTGGCAAATTTTTCGTAGCCATGTGGTACACGCAAATTTCTTTTTGAAGGCAGCTTTTAAGCAATCTATTTTGACATGTTGATGTCTCGAAAAAATGTCAGTGTACAGTGCCAAAGCAAATAAAAAAATTTAAGTTGCTGAATTCAAACTTTTTCTATCTTATATTTCGGGCGTTTCTAATTTCTGATACGCTTTGTATCTATGTTGAAAAAATTTTTTGGCAAAACTATCGTTGAATTTTCCTGTAGAATCAACGCCAAATTTTTTTTATCGAAAAGTCTATTTTGTTTTACACAAGCAGATTTGACTATTCGGTTCACCTCCATTTTTTAGCTAAATTTTTCCAAATGTGGAATTTTGCCTACCAAACAACTAAAAAAAAAGCAAACACTTAACTTCATTAAATTTTTTATGTTTCTTCTCATGTCTCGATTTCCATCATACATCATACACTTTAATTGTTGCAATTTTGAACGCTTTTAACTTACAAAGCGCAATTAAAAGCGAACATTTTTCTGGAAATGACCTTCGTTTAAATATATTATAAAGGTGGCAATTTTGTTTCGGATTACCGAATTTTGCATTGACTAAACAAACAAACACATGCAATTCAATTTTTGAGCTCAATCATGAATACAGATTGAATGTAGGTGAGAAAGGCCACAAAAAGTGGTCACAAAGTGTCAAATTATAAACCCAGATGAAACTCACATAACCCATGATGGCAGAAAAACCCCACTTGGTCCATCAGAGACGATTTATACCCCCTCCGAAACTTTAATAGTATTTTTTGTCACTTTGTTTTTTTAAATTTTGTGTTCAATGTTTCATGATAGAATCGAAGGTCTGGGTATAATTTTGCAGCGGTATCGCAATTATCATGGCGGAGCCAATCTCAGAAAATCTCTTGAAAATACAAAGGAAGAGCACGAAGAACTTATGCTTTGCTTTTTTCTAATCAATCTGGCATGAAAATTTAATTTGCTGAAAAAATAAAACTCAAACTGTAGACGTGCGAAATAACAGATTAAAGCAACAATTTTTAGCAGGCGAAAATTTTCACTAGACGACAATTCGTAACAGGCGACAATTCGAAACAAGGAATTGGCAAGTACGATACGCTTGCTTCGCTCCGCTCCGCTGCGCCTACATCAGGAAAGAGAAAAATACGGAGCGTGAAACGGTGGTCTCCGCCTAATCTGCTGTTACGAATTGTCACCTGTTACGATTTGCTGCCTGTTACAAATTGTCGTCTGATACAAATTGTCGCCTGTTTGACGAATTGTCGCATGTTAAACTAACAGACTCTATTCTTCAAAATCCCGGGTCGAACTTGATTCCTATTTTGGTCTCTTTTTTCACAAAAGGTATTTACTTGCCCGAGTTTTAGAAAAAAGAACTAAATGAGACCAAATTTTAGCAAGCTCTGCCCATTTTTTGATGCTGTTTTTGAGTTCATTAAGCTGTTGTTAAAAATTGGACTCGGTTAAGCCCAAGTTTTAGCAAAAAGGGCTGAATGAGCCCAGGTTCTAGCAAATGTAGCTGAATGAGCCCAATTTTTAGCAAAATTGGCAAAATAAGCTCTTTTTTTAGCGAAAAGGCTGAATGATCCCCATTTTTAGGAAATTCGGCCTTTTCATTTCCTCAATGTTTGTTTAAATAGACCAAAACAAACCAGAACTCTTATGATTGGTAGGACAGATATTGTACATAGTTATAGGACACTTAAGGTATCGGTTCGATCAATCAGCCCCTTTTTATGGAAAATTTTCATGCAAAAGTTTCAACTCGGGTTGTGTCATAACGCTATACTGTTGTGCTTAACGCATATAAGAGACGAACAAAAGATTTGACAAAAATACTTTTATGATGCTAACTTGTTTTTCGAAAAACAAAAAGGATAGAAATTTGAAACAGTTTTTCATCCATTTCTTATGAGCTAAGACTTACGCGTAACGGGAGGATTTTCCAACTCCAAATCAATTTCGAACTGCTCCCGAAATGATTGTTGCACGAATTTTTTGAAGGCTTCTTTGTCTCTGGGAATTAGGTAGAAAATCTTATCGTACATGAGTTCTTCTGTGTATTTCTTAGCCAGGGCCATGCAAACATGCGACTTGCCAGTGCCTGGTTCCCCCAGAATGAACTTGAGTGGGTTCGAGACATCTTTCACTATTTCCTGTTGCTGTTTGCTAAGGCTACCTAAATTCAGTGAGTTTGCCTTTTAATTCATCAAACTGTTTTTTATTGTTCCGACTTTCGAAGAAAACGGAATATTTATGCTTGGTGTTGTTTTTTAATCAGTCAGTTTTCGGCAATCAAAATAAAAGTTTTTAAGTTTTCAACAAAATTTTTTATCCCCATTGACAATATCGACTCCTTGAAATCAAATTTGAAAAGATATTTAACCTCCAACCATTTTTTGCAATGTTCCGGGGGTTTGAAAATTGGCAATTTGGCTAGGCTCTGAACTAATTTACGTGCACTTTGAAGAGATTATTCAAAATGCTCAGAGCATAACGCGAATTATTTAAGCGTGGCGAATTATCGCGCATAACTTAATCGTTCCAACTTTAATTGAGGTTATCTAATCGGTCTTATTAATTTCGTACAGCTCAAATTTTCATACTTGATTGATGATAATATCCCAAATGTATAGTTTTTCAATTAATTCTTTTCCCAAAAACTATTCGATATGAATCAAGAGGCAGGCGGAATACTCGGGGCTTCTCCCTATAATAACGTTATATTAACCTTAATAAACTAAAACAAAATTTAAAAATTGAGTCTTTTTGTAAAAAACATCCCCCACAAGCCATATAAAGTACACAGTGATAGGTTTTGCTCCTAGTAACCTACAAAAATTCTCCTTCAACCAAATTAGAACTATTTCTAGGGCGGATTATATGAGCACAACTATTCCGAAGAAAAAAACCACTCCGAGCACAACGATTCTGAAGAAAAAAAACCACTCCGAGCACAACTATTCCGTTAATTTCGTAACGAAAGTCGGAACAATAACACAAACTTTAAAAAATTTTAAGGCTACAAATCTGAATTGTTCTTTTTTTGAGCCTTTGCTTGTTTTAGTATGCTGCGAAGATTCATTTATTGTTCCGACTTTCGATACGAAAGTAACGGAATATTTGTGCTCGGGGTGGGTTTTTTTTCTTCAGACAAATTTCGACTTTTTAACTAACCATTTTTGACGGAATTTTTTTATATTGTTCGAAAACTATTGTTGTCCTGAGCTCAAATTTGAAAAGATATTTTACCTGTGATCCTTTTTCGTAAAGTTATGGGGTTTTAAAGATTGCAATTTTGGCCAATTTGGGACAATTAACGCGCAAGCGGAGAGTTAATCCGTCTCAAAATCGTTCCAAATTGGTTGAAAGAAGCTCAATTGCCATAATTGATTTGTTACAAGGAGCGAAATCTATCCTTTTGTACTTTATACGGCGTGTGTGGGGATGATTTTCAAAAAAAATTTCAAATTTCAGAAGAAAAAAAGTTTCATTATATTTTATTTCATTTATTTTTTTAATGTTTTTACGGCTCCATATAACCTTAAAAGCAGTCGGAACATTCAGGGCTACGCCCTGATACGAGCAGTCTTGTTTCAATTCTTATCGATTTTAACGTTTTAACTTTGCTTCATAATTAATCATTCTCTAGAAAAGATTCACATACGAACTTTTTTGTCTTCCTGTCGTATAAAACTGTTGAAATCCCTTTATAACCATTGAAAAATTTGATTAACATAAATTAATTTTGAAACAGTCTTACATCTCTTTGAAATTCACAGTGACTCGAGTTCAATCTCAAATTTGACTGTGCGTCACCTTTTGGGTCCAAAATTTTATTTCATTTCAGTCCCATCAGCTTTTGAAAATAAATTGAAAAATTGAGTTTTTTTCAGCCTAAAATAAGGCGAACCAGGGAAGATGCTTGAATTTTTTGTAGCAGAAAAAATGGTCACTCACTTTGCACTATCAGCTAAAAGCAAAATATTTCGAACGGATGCACACACATGCAAGCTTTTAGAATAAACCGTGCCAAACAAGCCTAATGCACGAAATTGTAGAATTCCTGATTTATTTGAAAAAATTTTCTGTCTTACAGCGGACAAACTGATCAAACTGCTAAAAATTCTCCTCTAATTAGTCAATGGAAACTTTGATGTTACTTCAAATATGTCTAGGAGGTTTGAACCCCTAGTACAAGTGAAATTGGCATGGTTTTAGCAATTTTCCCTGAAAAACTGATTTATATTTTTTTAAATAGAATTCGAAACTAACTGCAATCTCAAAAATATGCAACATTTGAAATAGGTTGTCACTCTTGGTTCTCAGGAACTGTCACCGCAGCGCAATTATCGGGTTGTTGCTTTTTCCATTTCTCACCGTGTTACAACTGAAAAACTATCAAACTAGGCCTGAAAAATTACAATAAAATTCACAACTTAGTCTTGGCCGTAAAATGCTATCATCTTTTCTTAGAGAAGCAAAACAATTGGAGAAACCTACAATAAAGTTGTTCAAGAAAACCAAAATGTTTGCGATTGCAATTGTTTTTAACCTCAACAAATTAGACACTACAAGCTATGTCAGTCAAAATGTGGCGATTTTCCCTCTCTTCCCATTAGATATATTAGGTCACTCTAATATGTGGAAAAATTTTACCTTCAAAAAGTAGAACAGTTTTTTCCTTTACAGCATCAGACGGCCAAAATTAAGGTAGCAAAAATGTTTATGAGTCTTTGTGTAAATGTGTATGTGTATGTGTGAGAAAAAAGAAACGTTTTAAAACCTAGTGATTTAAAAAAACTGGGAATTCAAACGGTACCTGCACTCAAGTATAAGTACCGTTTAAATCTCAGTTTTTTTTAAATCACTAGGTTTTGAAGCCTTTCTTTTTTCTAATAAGAGGAGAGGGAAAATCGCCACATTATCTTTTTCTTACGCGTACCTAAAAAATCGATTATAACGGTTTTTTATTCAGATTTTTTGGACAATTACAATTGATAGAGGATGTTAGAGGATTTCTACTCGATTATAATCATTACGTATTCCAGAAGATTAAGAAGAATATTATGAAGATATACAAAAACTCTTTAAATCAGTTATAGTCGATAATAATCTCCTTATAGTCAAAATCTTGTCACACCGAAAGTATTTTTTGTTTATACCCTGTGGGTTATTAATTTTCGATCGATATCAAAATCTCGAAAAAGAGATCATCTGATTACAAAGTTTCACCACCAAACAGAAATTTTAAAGAGATCCTTCAGTTTCTAATAATGAGTTTCCAAAAAAAATCATGAAACTAAAGCAATGGGTTGATTTTTCGAAGGTTTGAAAAATTTAAAATATGCCTCATGGAATTACTCTGATCATGAAGAAATGAAAATTATAAAAATGTTTTAAATATGATTTGATTTTGCCTTTTTTCATTTAAACCAATATCCGCATAAAACATCAAAAATAAATATAAGCATTTCAGAAGCAAGGCGAAAGACAAATTTGGCAAACTAAAGAGATTTTATTCAATTATAATGGATTTTTGTTGTGAGAAAAAAAATAAATTCGAAATTGAGATATAAGCCATCAATTATAGTGTTTTATAATCGGTTATAATTGTATCGAAAATAAATGGGTTAATTATCGACTATAGTCGATTAAAAGGTATTTGAATTATTATAAAGTGAGTAATAATTGATTAATATAATATCAAGTTTTTCTCTGTTTTAGTGAGACTGATACCTAAATCATAAAAGAATTGGTTATTAACGCTTGAGACTGGATGCGGATAGGCTGTCAAATTGTATGGTGCTGAGCTTTATATATTTAAAATGATCAAAATTTGTTTGTTTTACTCCTTCCACAGGTACAGATAGTGAAGGGAAGGATATGGGAAGGATGTGTTTTACATCAATCTTCAAAGCTTTAACTTTAAAATTGTTTTAAAGCTTTTCTAGACGTTATTGGAATCCGAAAAAATGTCCTAACGTCGAGAAAAAAATGTTTTGAGACCAAAATAAACAAAACTTGAGAAGCTGACATCATGCTGAACATTTAAAATTATTTAAGCAAACTTTGCATCTCACTGCTGCAGCTTTGCATTTAATTTAATTGCCTTCCATTAAAAACTAGATGTAAATTAGAAAAGTAAATTGATGTTTTGTTTTAATTTTTTTTACTAGTTTCACTTTTTGTCTTATTTAAAATTTAATCAGCTAATCTTGTTGTACAGTGCTGATTTAAATTATCGGGTCGAAACGAACTAAACTTGAATTTTCAAAAGCATTTTTCTCAAATTGGGTTAAGATTAGACAAAAAGTGAAGAGAACAAAAGTTGCTTAGAATTTTGCCAGAATTAATATGATGCTATTTTTTCACCGAACTTCTCAACAAAAACTTTACCCCAAAAAATGGGTCATTTTGGCTTTTTTCAATTAATCAAAAAATACGCTGAAACTATTTTGTTAACTGATAAGAAATTTATATCACAGGAAGCCCCTTACGCAGCTCAACAAAGTTTAAGGAGGGTTAAATCTCCAAAAACCAGTATAAGAGAAAAAAATTTCACTTGATAGTCAATAAATGTGATTTTTACTAAATAAAAACCAGAATCTGTTTAAAAATAAATCATGCGCAAATTTTTGCAGATTTAACCCTTCTTAAACTTTGTTGAGCTGCGTACGAGGCTTCCTGTGGTATAATTTTCTTATCAATTAACAAAGTAGTTTCCGCGTAATTCTTGATTAATTGAAAAAAGCCAAAATGACCCATTTTTGGGGTAAAATTTTTTGTTGAGATATTCGGAGAATTAATTCTGGTGAAATTCTAAGCAACTTTTGTTCTCTTCACTTTTTGTCTAATTTTAACCCAATTTGAGAAAAACGCGTTTGAAAATTCAAGTTTTGTTCGTTTTGTCCGGATAATTTAAATCAGCACTGTATTAGAATCAGAAATAAAACTTTTACAGTATCAGAATTGAGAAAAACATAATCAAAGCTCACTAGGTTTCCAGTTTTTTCATTAGCGCCTTTAATATGTGTGAAAAATCCGACTGAATATTTATTTCAAAAATAGATAAAGCACCCATGCTAATTCATTTGACAGATGCGATGAAGAGTATGCCACTTTTTACTTTACATTGGGTGTGGGGGACGATTTACGAAGGAATTTAAAATTTATCATTTAAAAAAACATAATTGAAATTTGATATTAGGTTACTTCAGCATCTTAAGCGTTAGTCAGCAAGCACATTGTCTTGAAAATTGAGTCATTTCCCTGATATGAGCAGTCTTGTTTTATCTTTTTTGATTTAACTTCTTTAGAAATGGACTGATTCGAGCCCCTGTCAGCCCAAAGAGTCAACCTTTTGCAAGGTTTTTAGAGAACATTAGATTTCGGTTGAGCCACCCTTAAATCTTTCTTGAGGCGCCTTCATACAATAAAGCGTATAAAAAACATACTTTTTTTGGTCAAAACCTTCCATAGCGTGTTTGTTGTCACTTTTTTGACAAAAATTGCAGAAAATTCGGTCAAAATAGAATGTTATCGTCATTTGATTTGGCGAGCTCGGAAAATCAATTGGTCGAACTAAAAAACTTGTCGACAAAATATTTGAGAGAATTGAGAAGTTTCGCACTTGGTTATATCCTCTTAGTCAAAGCACATCCAATGCTGTTTGTACCAGGGCAAACTCTGGACATAAGTCTGAGTGGTACAAGGTGAATGTGAGCGGTTGAGATCTTTCTTTTCGTTGTATTTGCAAAGTGCCGCTTCAGTGCTTCACCCTTGGGTTCAAATTTAGTGATGCTGATTAATTGTCAGTGAATGAAGCTAAGGCTCTTATTTAAATCGTGTGGTTTTTTTTCAGGATTAAATCTCAAATATTGTGTTCAAGTTCAAACGCCCCCCCCCCTCGAGAAAATCCTAGATTCCAAAAATAATTATTGGAATTAAGATTACGACCATTTATCCACGGGGGAAAGGACCAACACAAGAGCTGTACAGCTCATCACGGCGAACCGCTGTTGTCCCCCTGTTTAAGAACTACAAGCTATTTTTTTGGTTATTTTTCTGGGCTGGGTAATGTTGCTTCACCCTCAATTGAAGAATATATCACTTCTACGGGTTCTTATAGTTTTCTCACGGCACTATTTTGAGAGAAAGAAAAAGTTGTTTTTCAAATTTGTTCATAACATTCTATAACAGGTTATCCTTGTTATAGTATATGCAATTATCCTTACTTTCATAGTATTCACGTGCAGCTAGAGAGAATATGACTTCCATCGATTTGATTAGCATCCTCTCTTGGTTATTTGCATCGGCCGTGGTCTGCGATTGAGTGACCAAAAATTTTTTTAACGTCATAGGTGGCTCATGCATTTGGCCGTAAAAATGGTTTCCACTGCGGGTTACTTCAATCCGGTTCACTTTGGCCGCAAGGAAATCAGTTCCAGGGTTATCAAGGGCAACTATGTGTACGAAGGGTATAACATACTTTCCCTGTGTGTCGAATGGCATTTTCTCAATAGCTTCATGTCCAATGTACGTGCCTGGTGATTCATCCCAAATAAACTCACGCCACTGTTTCTGACTGATATCTTTGACAAATACTAAAACTTTCAAATAATTGTCTCGAAAATCTTTAATAAACCTTGGCCTGCTAGATTCTTCGATATTCATAAAATGTTGAGTCATCAGACAATGAATGAGCTGCAGAGCGAATGGTACAATTGTGTTGAACACCTGCTTCAGTTTCCGCAGCTCAGTTCTTTCTTTCACCTGTGAAATGAGCAGAGAGTTTAGTTCCATTTTTATCAATTGATATGGTTCCCATTCAAAGAAGCTTGAAGAAATTTAGTGTTTTGGCAAGTTTCAGGGAATCAAAAAAGCAAAACTTTTTCGGTTTAAATTTTTTTTTAATTTGAAACTAATAATTTGCTCTGCTTTTTAACAAAATTGGGGTAAAATTTTACTCCAATTTTTTTTTTACAAAATCAGAAGAAAGTATGAATTTTCAAATTGAAAAAATCTTCTAAGCCGACAAAAATTTGCTTTTTTGGGTTTCTTATTAGCTGTTTTGTGCTTAAGCATCATCACTAAACTTTACCTGAAAAGCTTATGTATGAAAGAGTTTCCATGCATAGAGTGGTAATTATAATTGCTAAAACTTTCTATAGGGTCTATCCTCAGTAATATTGTGAGACAGCTATTTGGGACTGACTATTCCTGAAATTTTTTGTGAAGCGCCATTGAAGCCAAAATATGCTAAATTTCAGGAGATGCGCGCAAAAAAGCGAGATTTATGGTCATACTTCACATTAATTCCAAAATCTCGTGAGCCATTTAAAAAGGTAAAAATATGCTTACAGCGCAAAAAATTTTTACACAATAGTCGTTACGGTGTTTTGGAAAAATTCGGAAAATCAGTTTGGTCAAACTAAACCTTAAGATTGAAGAAAAACCCTCTCAAAAAAAGCATGCGAACGTTAATGAACTTTAAACATATCTTAGCATGGTCCACCAAGTGTAATGAAATTTGTTGCCCGTAGAAATTGAAAATAGTATTTAGATAGAATATCCAGTTTTTACCATAACATCAAATTTCGTTCTCAGTTCAAACTTCAGAATTGGGAATTGGTTAGATAGACAGATTTGTCAGAATTTTGTGCAACAAAATAACCTTACAAAGCTTTCTAGTTTTCAAAATTTCGGAGTTTTTAGAAATTTTCCTTAATTAGGCTTGCAATTAGCAAGCGTTATCAAACCGGGATATAGATTTTTTTTGTGTTAACAACTAGCTTAACAGAATCACTTGAATAATTTTACCTTTGGTTCAAAAGTCTGTAGTCAATTTGCGCATGTGGCGAAAAGGTAACGCACCTGCTTATAAAGACAAAGTTCAATTGTATGAATCCGGTCAGGACCTGTTTTTATTAATAAACAAAAAGTGGTCCGCGCCTCAGAAAATTTTTGCCGGACGTCTGTTTGTCTGCTTTTTGTCGGTTTATTTACTGCAGCATCAAATTTTCCAAAAATTTGGACGTTTTTACTCGAATTAAAAAACTATTTCAGTTTTTCCGATTATATTTTGATTTTTCTGATGCTGTTCATAAATTTTGTTTTGGGTTTTTTTTTTATAATTTGAGTGTTCTGTACACCCATGCTTGATTTTTGTGGAAAACCAAAAATTTTCGCATATTTTAGACTTTCGTATCTGCTAATTTTTGTTGGCTTATGTCCCGCAGAAAAGTTCGGTTTCTTTTCAGCAGTTTGATGGCTTTTTTAAAGTTTCTAATGGCGCAAATAATTTTGTTTTAGGAATTTTTCTCCTTTTTTGCAATTTTTATAGCTTTTTTGGCAACAAAAATCCATTTTTTGGAATAATTTTTCCCTTTTTTTGTCTTTTCATTTGCTGGTATTCATACTCAAACATCTTTGCAATTTTTTCAACGTTTTTGTTGTTTTCAAAACTTTCGCATATTTTAGACTTTCGTATCTGCTAACTTTTGTTGGCTTATGTCCCGCAGAAATGTTCGGTTTCTTTTCAGCAGTTTGATAGCTTTTTTTAAGTTTCTAATGGCGCAAATAATTTTGTTTTAGGAATTTTTCTCCTTTTTTGCAATTTTTATAGCTTTTTTGGCAACAAAAATCCATTTTTTGGAATAATTTTTCTCTTTTTTTTTTGTCTTTTCATTTGCTGCTATTCATACTCAAACATCTTTGCAATTTTTTCAATGTTTTTGTTGTTTTCAGGGGGAAGTTTGGCTTCAATAAAAACGGCTTCGAAATTATTTTCAGCTAACAGTTGGTAGATTTAGCATTCATTTTATCCAGTGTTCCTTTCAAATTTTTTCAAACAGCAAAATCTTCAAATCATTTTTTCTCGACATTTGGAGCACTCAACCCTCCCTGTCTGTCGTTTTTAATTTGCGACTTTGGGTTTGTTAGAAAAAAATACACTCTTATACAACTCTTATCCGTACTGAGCTTCAGGATACATAGAACGTGTATAATGAGATTTCACAATCAGTCTTGCCCAAAATTGAAAACAATTTGATTGTAAAAATGATTATAGTTATTTTCATCCAATTATAAAATCAACGAAAATAGGAAATATACTGATTATAGATTTTTTCTCCTGAACCTCAATACGGGTACGCACTTGGTGGTCCGAAATATAACTTTGGGTTTATTATAAAATATCTTGGTTTCAACCTGACATTCTTTTTTTGTATGAAGTCCTGAAATCGGTTGACCAGTACTGAGTTATAGGAATTGTCAGCATAATATCACCTATTATTTCATATACAATATCAAAATATTTTGAAACATGTGCTTCACTTACACTGTATTGTTGGTTTGCATGACTAACTTCAATGAAAAACACTCCGCTCTTCGTGAACAAGGTCCAGTCGATCTCGTAGCGCTTCCCTTTTGATATTGACACAAAGGGCTTCAGCATTGTCACACTTGCCGAGTAGACGGAAGTACAACTTTCAAGGCCTTTGCATGCCAGTAAGTCAATAACTTCGTTGAAAAAGTACTCAATCTCTCCTCGAATTTTTCGACGACTTTCAGGGCTCAATGTACCCTCTGGACAAGCTTCACGAGTAGCGATTTCCCGCAATAGCTGTTCCTTGTTTGGTATCAAATTGAGTGTTTCTGGCTTTCGAAGTTTTTCAAAGCTTTCAATTAGCTCGCCCATCTTGTCAATAAGAGGCGCGGCTGCATGAGTCTTATCAAGTTTTACGGATTTATTGTGCATCTTCAGGGCGCAGCCATCTTCTCTACAAGCATCAATCAGTTTGCCCAGAATTTGTTTTATTCTGGTTTGTTCTTGGTCGTTTGCTGTTATAGCTGAGTTTGATAATAATTTTTCTGTAGTCGTGCTCACATCAAAATTTATGTTTCTTTCGGCCATAAATCTCACATCAAAATTTATGTTTCTTTCGGCCATAAATTCTTTGATTTTCATTTTTAACTCTTCAACTGTTTCTTTATTCAGCTTTTTAAATTGAAAACATATTTCCAGGTGTTTCTCCAAGCCGTTGAAAATGTTGGCCAAAATGAGCAAAAATGAGCAAAATGACAAAATATCGGCAGGTTTTTGGCTGATCTCCTTGAATTTGTAAAATTTTTCCCTATCTTCACTGAAGAACAAATTCGTAACGGCAGCAATTTCATTTTGAAAACAGGACGCACTCATCCCACTCGGTTCTAGAATATTCCGTAACTCATCCTCTTTAACAACACCAGAAGCTACAAGTCGAGCAGCACCGATTGATGTGAACAAATGACCGTCAGGTCCCAATGATGCCTCATGTTTTCTAACTTCCTTTTCAGCAGCAGGGGGTTCTTTGAGTTGTGCTGTCCAATCGTTTTCCAAGGATACAGGCATAAGCGGAGGGTGAATATTAATAGGCATTTTAGAAGTTGAGGTTCCAGATTTTAGCGAACAAATGGTCTTAAGCAACACCACAAAGATTTTCACATTTAATTTTTTAATCTTAGAGTTTTAATTTTTGACTCCAAGAAGAAGAATGCAGCGCACAAAATTGCATAAGTTTATAAATATAATGAGGCACATGACTTCAAAGTACAATAAATCATGTACTTATAATCATGTGATAAGAAATTTACAGAATTTTTTTCGGACCTTATTCAAATGTCTCATAAAAATAAAAATAAATTCTTTGCAATCTTGTGTTGTAAAACTAATATATATATATATATATATATAATTTTTTCTAATTCAAATCTCATCGCCACACACAAGTCATCGCCATTTTTATATTTAGTGTCAAATTAAATGATAAGCAAACTGTTATTTTTATCTTATGCTAATCTGGTTATATTAAAATATAATATGATCTATGAAAACAATTGATTTATGAAAACACTGACATAATAATTATATGCTCAGCGTAGTTTTTTCTTCAGATGACTGAGCTTAAATTTAGAAAAAAAACTGTGGATTAAAAATTGATGTCAAAAGCCAATCGGAACATTCAATGTTTTGTAGTGATAATAGCAACCCGGGTTACCTCTCCATAGAATTCTATCCTCGGCGCCACTCCTGGATCCAGGCATGGCCAGAGGGAAACCATGTCAAAGTCATGCAGGGATTACCCTGGACGTCTTGGAGCAGTCTAAACTTCTATGGTTTTTTTGTTTGAAATTTTTTATTTGCACTTGTTTACGTGCCTGCCGAAAACATAATTAACTAAAGAATGTTATCATATAAGAAAACTCACAGGTTAACTGGCAAGAAAATTGCAGAGAAACAACTGCTTTTGTAGGCCCACCGTTGAAAGTAAATTCAGCATTTTCATAGACTTAAGATAACAAAACGCAAATTGTTGCTATGTAGCTAGATAGCTTCTACATCAAGAAACGGTGTTAGAAATATCTTGGGATTCTGTAAATTTTATGGCTTGAAAACTTTAGTGTTTTTACTCTTTAAAAACAACCATAAACTTATTATGGCTCCACGCACTACAGTGTGAAAAATTAAGTCTAGACTACTTTATACCCTAAAATAATTGCATTTTGCGTGCAATTATTTTTCTAAAAATGTTTGTTTGAGCCTAAAAATGACTTTTCGGCAGCTAAAACAATAACGTACATTTTTGTAAAAAATGTGACTTCTTAGCAGGTGTTCGGGACAGGTTTTTGAAAGCATTTTTTCTTAGAATTCTTGCCAGGGTTCCTGGATGGCCCCGGTCAGGAATTTCAGGATTGCGCGGGATCCTTCAAGTTACTGGCAGAAAAACTAAAACTTTAACATGGATATGTAACCCGGGAATTCCGCCCAAGGGCAACCAAAAATATAATTTTTTATAATTTCACATAAATTCCGTCCTTAGTTATAAACTTGACTCCAATTTATGTGCTTTTTTAGCGGTTATGTTAATCTTATTGCTATCGTGACTTACATGCATAAGCTATATGTTTTTAATAGTTTTTTCTTAATCTATTTTTATGGTTTTTCTATTTTTGAATTATGCCAGCAAACAAACAATATTATTTTCTCATTATAACCCGGTTTGACAAAAAATGTTTATCATACAACTCTCATATATGGAAAAAATGCTTATCATACTCTTTCATAAGGAAAAAGTAAGTGTACGAAAATAGCAAAATAAGAATTTTTTCCATAATATGAAATTGTGTGAAAAGCATTTTTTCCATACTATGAAGTTGTATGATAAGTATTTATTCCATAAATGAAAATAAAAAAAAATTGTTTCGAAACTTTGTGTTTCAACCGAAACACTAAAAAGGATTTGTGTCATAAAAAATCCCAGCATGTAACTGACAGTTACCACGCAAATAAACTGCATTTGGTGACTTCAGCCATGAAATTTAAATTTCACATTTTCACTTGGAATTATAAACCAAAAAATTAACTTTTTGAATATGGCTAGATAGTTTTTAGCTTGAAAATTTTGATGGTTGAGAAAAAAAGGCCCTTTTTTTTCAAATTTTTTTTTTCTTTGCAAATGAAACAAAAGATAATAGCCGTGTTTACAAAAAAAAACACTTTCTTGTGATTTTTAGATTTTTTGGGTAAAAAATTCATCCTGGACTACGTTACAAAACACAAAAAGTCAAACTTTGCATGCAAAAACTTTTTTTCGTAAAATTTACATTTTAGCTCAAAAGCAAGTTTGCAACCACAAAAGGGATTAAAAATTTTTCACCTCAAATTTTTGTTTTTGTTTATGAAAAAAAGACATATCATACAATTTTCATATATGAAAACTTATGATAAGCTTTTTTCTAACCGAAATTTAAATTAAGTTTTTAATTGTCAAAATGCCCTCTATCATAGATATAATTATTTAAATCTATTTAAAGTTACCCAGACCTGTTTTTTGAAGATTTTTGAAAACTTGATTTTTTCTATGCTATGATAAAATGACTATCTTATATTTTTCATACATGAAAACTGCATGATTAGCATTTTTTATCAATAATTTTAAATCATTTTTTTAATGGCCAGAAAGCTTCAAAAGAGGCAATTAGACCAAAAATGTTCATTAAAATTTTTTAAAACACTTATAAATTTTTTTATGAATTTTCTATTTTAAGCTTTTTTCCATAGACTTCATTAATGAAACTGTATGATAAGCATTTTTCTTCTATGGACGTCAACCCGGGAAGTTATTTTGAAATCCGTCGCCACTATTTTGGAAATTGGCCCCACTTTAAAATTTCAACTCGTTTTATTTCTTCAGTTTTTGCTATTGTGCCCAAATTACAATTTGCAGACCTACTCGATGTGTACCATTAATTAAATTTTTGATCAGATTTTTCCCAAAACTTTGTGCAAGTAAACAATTTACGGATTCATACATATATGTTCGTTTAGATGATACCACCACTTTTAAATTTTTTCACCATTTTTAATTTTGACTAAATTAATCTGAAATATGACTGCGGTTGTTTTATGGCAATCTGGTTGTACTTAAATAATTAATTGAAAGTCTAAAACGGTTATAAAAATTTTCAAAAAAAAAAATAACTACAGCTTGTAGCTAAATTTATCTTAGTAGTATTTTTTTTTCAAAAGCTAAATGTTCAGCTACATCTAGTTTTAAAGCAAAACAAGTAAGGTTTTTCAATTCTCATTTGTTTCGGAGACCAATATAACTTTTGTCAGCACATTTAAATACAAATTTTTTGAACACCTAATATCTATTGTATGAAACGATTAATAACGAATTTAGTCATTATTTTGCAAATCGGAGGTCTAGAAGAACTCGAAAAAAAAAACATATGTTGATTTTGTTGAGTAAACCAAAGGTAAAGGAACATAGTTTGTGACCTACAGCACGACGAATATTTGAGTATTGTGGAACCAGTTCTAAACTAGAATTTATAAATGGTTAGAAGTATAATTCTCTATTCCTATAAAATATTCCTAAACTAACCAATTATATTCCATCTATAACAATTACAATTATTTGTAAGTGATGAAACTACTTGTAGTTTCAGCACCAGAGCAATTTGAATTAAACTTAGAATAAAGTTGTTCTCCTTCTGGAAACTAACTCGCATAAACCAGTATACATTAGATTTAATGAGACTAGGAGATATAAGAGTAAGATTAAGATCGTTTAAAGATCTTAATTAAGATCGTAAGATTAAGATCGTTAGATTAACATCATCTAAACTTTAATCTTAAGCCTTTAAAATTTAAATTTTTACATTAAATTTTATCAAAGCTTATCCTTGTTTTCTCTTAAATTATTTTAACTTAAATAACAGATCATCAAGGCTCTCCTTGGATCTTTAAGGTCACTTATATTAAATTTCTTCAAAATTCTGATCATCAAGGCTTTCCTTGGATCAAACGGAACAATTTTGTTCTCCTCCCAACAGTTTTAAAGTTTCTAACGACCTCAAAAGTCGAGTCACTACCCATCCCTTATCAACAACTCAGGACCAATAGAAATTTATGAAAAAATTAACCATTTTAATTAAGATAAACAAAGAAGAACTTCGGTTACTCATCCTTCTCTTGAGCCCTTCCTCGTAGATGACCCAGGCTAAAACACTTAGACTTAGTAAGTCATAAAATAGTATCTAACGATCTACTCGCGATCTAGTTATACCTGAATCTTGTGGATTGATTTACTATTCTCCAACCCTCAATCACAAATCACAACCCCTAAGTAACACTAGGTAAGTCCTTAAATTAGAACATAGTCACGAGAAAGTAAAAAATCATTCTCACGAATCGATATAGTACTCTTTCTCCAACCCGTCAAACCACGACAACCTATGCCCCAAGACGAGATAAACACTTAAAACGCGTAAGGACTAACAGATTAAGAAATTAGAAACCTCTAATCCAAAAATTGCATCCATCATCCTAAACCTTATGCCAAGAGACGATCTAGGTAACAAACAAACAATCGTATTTCATAATTGTTTAATGAAAAACAAAAAATACGACCTTGCAATCACACCACACAGACAAACAATAGGATATATCAGATCAAAAAGACAAACAGGAAAAAAGACAATCATAACAAAACAAAAACAATTTATCAGAAAACGATTTTTAAAACGAAGAAATGTAGTCTCAGAATGAGACGCAAACACAATACAGGAACTTCAAGATTTAAAAGACTACATAAGTACAAATAAACCGATCGACGACCAAATAAATTTTTCGGACTCAGAAGCCACAACACCATCATCAATAAAAGGAAAACGCAAAATAGAAAAGTCATATATTAACAAACCAATACGCCTATAGAATTGGAATCAACCAATAAGACATTTTGAATACTTCACACTAACAGTTTTACAATATAAAACAGGATCGAAGACAACAAAAATCTCACCGAAAACTCGATACTCCCTTTTTAAAAAAAACCGCAAAATGATTCCTCCCGTGGACAAGTACAATTTTGTCATAACTTAATTGTAAATTTATTTGAAA